GAGTGAGTGAGTGTGTGTGTGTGCTCTCACTCTCTCCCTCTCTCTCCTCTCCCTCGGCTCACCCTCAGCCTCACGCTCATTACAACTATTCCATATGAGATGCCTCCAGCAAACCTCAACAGCTCTGAATGCAATTCCTTCATTGGGAGTATGTGTTCTGGCTTTTCTGTGGTTGGTAAATTTGGTTATATTCTCATTCTCCATGGCTGTTACACGCTTGTGGCGGGGCAGGTTATTGGTGATCCTGGGTCTCCGGGAGCTAAAATCCGAGATGGAGCAAAGAACATCATCAACCAGCACCTTCGTGCTATACGAGGTATGAGCATTCTCTGCTATTAATCACGTGTGTATGGAGGCAGTGAAGGGATTGGTGAATAAATGATCAACAGAAAGTTGCACTCTGCAAAACAGAGAGGGTTGCAGTGGCAGGAGGGAGTTAAGAATGAGGAAGGAAAATGTGCCAAGAGGGTATGTGTTTCAGACTCCGATACGGCTCGATCCCTGGTCTGCGGGTTACCACCTGTCAGCTTGCTGTATTTATTCTTTTTTTTTTTTTTACAATTTTCTTGTTTTATTTTGTTTGTGCTCTTCTGATTTCAGACAGTTGGCGCCATCTGCATTCTGGCGCCCGTTTTCAAAATTCCTTCTTTTGGGACTTTCGGATTTCGGACACTTGGCACCATCCGACATTCTAATGCCCACTCTCAGACTTTCGATTTTCAATACTGGCCCTGAGGCGTTTTCACTTTTGCCCTCAGGACTGTACTTGAGTCCGGACTTATGTCGCCCAGAACAGGCACCAAGTTTTCAGCTTCAGTGCTTGTGTTCAGTGCGACTTTGCTTTGACATTCTGTTCCAGAATTCAAGACTGCGACTTTGCTACTTTTGCCACTTTGTGTCTGTGTCCGTCGAGTCGTGTCGAGTCATTGTCGAGTTGAGTGATCATGTGTATGCTCTCACTCTCCCTCTCTCCCCCAGCCTCGCTGCTCTGCCTCTGCCTCGTCACACTGGTATCGGATTGGCGTCGATCGACCTCCTGCCGGCCTCAATGACGCCATCATCGTCTTCATCGCCAACATTTCTACATCATCCCCGTCATCGTCATTTGCAACATCGACATTGCCATGGCATCGTCATCGCTGCCAGGTCATCAACGATCCTGAATCGCCGACGACAAGGCCGAGGTACGTCATTATTATTATTATTTATTTACTTTTTTCTTTTTCATGTTCTTATTTTCTCTTCTCCTTCGTCGTTTCTTCTTTCGTTCTTCTTTTCTCCTCTCTCTCTCTCTCTCTCTCTCTCTCTCTCTCTCTCTCTCTCTCTCTCTCTCTCTCTCTCTCTCTCTCTCTCTCTCTCTCTCTCT